GGAAAGTTGCCCCTCAGGCAGCTGCTAACATGGTCCCCCTTTACCTCCCACAGACAATGGCCCCGTTGGCAAACGGCGTACAGGCACAGCCACCGTGTTCATCACTGTCCTCGATGTGAATGACAACCGGCCCATCTTCCTGCAGAGCAGCTATGAGGCCAGCATCCCTGAGGACATCCCTGAGGGCCACAGCATTGTGCAGGCAGGTGGCCTGGGGCCCCTGGAACAGGGACTGCACACACTCACTGAGTTACTGCAGAAGGGATAGAAGGAGGAGTAGGCAATGTGGCAGGGAGTGGGGACCCAGGCCCTCTCCCTCCCAGGGGGAGTGGGCTCCCAGAGTTTGTAGCCTAGGACAGGCCTGACTCCCCCAAACCGGAAGGGAGGCAGAGGCATCTTGGCCTCCTCCCCTCACCCTCCACCCCATCCCAAAGGGCCTTTCAGAGCAGGGAGGAGAAGGAGATGTCACATTTTCCCGGAAGGGAGTTGAGGAGAGAGAGCCAAGAGCCAAGGCCAGTGAGGCCAGAACAGAGCAGCTTTCATGGCCCCTTGGCCCAAGCTCCCCTCTTGGGAAGTAAACAGGCACAAGAAGAAAGGGCTCCTTTGCCCAGGGACTGGAGCGACAGGCATGCAGGAGAAAGGGAAGGGCCTACAGAAGAGGCTCCCTTGGTGCCCTCCCCCACCAGCCCTGGAGGCCTCATTGCTGGGTGGGGAGGGAGGCTGGGAATGAATGACTCTGTTCACCCAGCTGTGGGGGTTTCTGACTGAGTGTCTGGGCCAAGCCCAGCAAATCTGGGCCTGTCTGCAGGGGGCAGGTTCCCGGGCTTGGGAAAGGAAGAAGAGTGGGAGGTTGGGAATATGCCCACCAATCCCCAGCAGGGCCAGAGAAGGGAGCAGGAAAGGGGCTGGGAGCAGGGTGCTGACTCCCAGAAGTGGGGAGAGCCCTGGGAGTCAGGAGATTGGCAAGAATCTAATGGCTGGTGTGCAAGAGAAGGGGCAACAGGAGGGAGGAGGGTTCCATCCCTCTGGGCCTCAGCCCGGCGTGTCCAAACACCCCCCACCTGGTACCTGCCTCCTCTGGCTCACTGGCCCATATCTCAGGACAATAGCCTTGCTCAACCTGGGCATGCCACCAGACCTTTGAGGCTGGGCCACTGGCTCAGGAGGGTGGTGGAGGTTTCCTGCAGACTGAATTCAGCCTGGACATCGCAGGGAGGCCTCGGGGGACGTAAACCAGGAAGAGGTTAACAAGCAGGAAGGGAGAGGGAAGCACAGCCCTCTGGGACGGGACCTGTCTCACTTTCTAAACCTTGAAGACTTGGTTTCCACTTACACACACTACTCAGACCTAAATCCTAAAGCTCACGAGTAATATAGGGCAACCCCTACTCTCCCTGTTTCTTGGGGGAGGAATTTGGCCATTGGTGACTTCTCTAGGGCCCTATAATTAGGTTTTTTACAAAGCTGGACTCACTCTTTGACATCAGAATGATCTAGAAGGGAGGCTCAGTGGGCCTTTCCAGCAGGGCCTGCTTGGAGAGAAATCTCCCCAGGGGTGTCCGAGGGAAGAAGAGTGCCCTGCGTTTTGCAGGGTCCCACCAGGACTCCTCCCATGGGCTTTCAGGGTGGGGACACATCCAGGCTGGGTCACCCTTCACTCAGTAAACAGAGGTCTCAGACTCTATATACAAAGCAGATGACCTCCGTTAAGAGATCAGACAAGATCTCACTCTGTGAGCTCCCAGGCTTGTAGATAAGAATGACCCATGCTAGCAAGAGGAGAGTGACCCCTGTCCACCCTGAGGGTGATGCAAGAGAGTGTGAGCATTGCCAGGCAGCAGGTGGCTTTTAGCCAAGATGGCTTCGCAGACAGGTGCCATGTGAGGCATAAGCCATGACCAGGGAGAGCAATAATTCAGTTTGCCTAGAATTTTGAGTCAAGATGAGGCCAGAAACACAGGTTGAAGTCATCTCCCAGAGGGTGCTGCACACCAAGCTAAGGAGCTTTGGCTGCACCCAGTTGACAGTAAGGAGCCGAGACAGGTTTGGAGCTGAAAAGTAGCAAACCAGAGCTCACCTTGAGAAGACTTGGCTGGCTTTGCTATGGATCATAGCAGGATAAGGCCAGCCCACCTTCTGGGATAGAAAGCTTAGAGCCCCCTTTCTGGGACTAGACAGCTTAGAGCTCCCTTCTCCAAATTTGGGACCAACCAAAGTATTTAGCCTCAGTTGTTGGAGGAGAGATTCATGGGATTCTGAAAAGCCTATCCTGGGTGGGATCTCAGTGAAGCAACCACAAGATTGCACACCTACTGTGCTCCAGGCTCAAGGTCCCCAGCTGTCATGGAGAGGACCAGAGGGGAGAGATTTGAACCCTCCCACCTGAGGGGGAGGCCATCCCCTTCCCGGGGAGAGACCTGGAGCTGCTGTGGTTGGTCTTCCTCAGAACCCAGGTGTCATCATCTCCACCTGGGCACCACCGGCCTCCTGCCAACTGACACAGCCCCAGTCCTAGCCCCTGAATGGGGCAGCCCCTTCCTGATTGATCTTGATGTGAGCATAAAAGTGGGTCACCTGAGACAGCTGCCAAGATCATGATTCCATAGACACTATCGAGAGCCTCCTGCTTGCACCCCTCCACGCTGGTGCCCCAGCACCTCCAGCTTGGCCAGAGCAGGCCTGACACCAGCTGGGAGGCCCAGGAGCTGAAGGCCTGCCCTGGGCAAGAACATTCCTAGAAATCCCCTACGAGAGAAGCCCATTTGTTCCCAAGGAGCTGCAAGGCCATCCAGGCCAAGATGCTTCCTCTCAGAGGCTCAATTATTCCTTCATTCAACAAACACCTATGAGAGCCAGGCTCTGGGGACACAGCAGTAAACAGAAACAGAATCACTGTCCTGGCCCAAGGAAGGAAACAGGCTTTGAACAAGTGATTCCAAGACCAAGTGTGAGAAAATCACAGGGTTCTTCAGGGGAGTACAGCAGGTGGGTAGGTGTGGTCCAGAAAGGCTTCCTGGAGGAAGTGACACCTAAACTGAGCCCTGCAAATGAGAAGGAGATTTCCAGCTGAAGCGAAGAGATAGAAGTGGATGGAGGGAACAGGGTGTTTGAAGGCTTGTGTAGGAAAGAATGGGACATGTTGGAGAAAAACAGGGTTCAAAAGATGAGGCCATAGGATGACCGGGGGTGAGGATCAGATTATGCAGGGCCTTAGGGACCTTGGTAAAGATTTGGGGCTTTAACTGAACAGCTAGAGATGGGACAGGGATTGGAGGACTGTGGGACCAGATAGAAGCCATCCTTCATACCCCACCTGAGGTCAGAGGGTTGGTCCCCTGTTGCAAAAGGTCTCCTGCTCCAAGCAGGGCACCCCATCTGGTGAAATCCACTTGAATGGGGCACTGGCCAGCTAGAGTATGTATGTCCAGAGAGACAGGGCAGCTGAGTGTGTGGAGAGAGCACTGGCTGAACAGTGATTGAGGAGCTGTCTGTCACTTGTCTTGATGCTGCCAATACTCATAGTACAGCCAGCATCATTGGTTTGTACAGGGTATTCAAGGTGGGCCCAAAGTGGCTGCCCTGTCCATTCAGAGGACCCTGGCATAGCTGGAGGCTACCCCATTGCCAACATTGTTTGCCTTTAGCCAAAGCTAGATCAGATCCTTTACCCCTCTGATCCTCAACCTGGATGGCTGCAGGTTGTTAGCACATCTATCCTCCCTCTGGCCTTGGGATGGCCCACCCTCCTCCCCAAGCAAGGTCAGAGCAAGGCCCATTGTAAACATCCTACCCCCAGGTCTCCTGCTTTCACACCTATGATTGCCACTATACCAGGGAGGGAGGAGGTACCTCTCCAGAATAGTGGCTTAGGCAGAGGACCCAAGGACATTCAATCCCATCCTGGTCTGCCCAGATCTCTCTGCAGGCTAGGCTGTTGGGAAGAACTGACCCCACGCATCTTGAAGTTGTAGGCTCCTGGTTTCCTAAGATCCACCTAGGGTGTCAGCCACTCCCACAAAGCATTAGGCAGATGCCAGCAGGGCCCAGGTTTCCAAGGACGGAGCCTCTGGGTTTGTTTTTGCCTTGGTCACTGAATTGTCACAGGTGGTAGGACAATGCCTTGGCCCTGGTGTAAGTTGAGTATTTCACATGGCTGGAGGGAGCCTTTGTCTAGTCAGCAACTCACATGGGAACTGGAGCTGGGCTTTGGCCCCAGGAGGGCAGGCAAGTAGGAATGCTGCTTTCAGGAGGTGGTGGGTTGCCAGAAAGGACCTTGGGGAGCACCAGGTTGAACTCCAGAGCCACAGCCCAAGTTCCCAGGTGGCTCCAGGTGCTCAGCTCTTAGTCCAAGGGCTTTCAGCTGGGACCACCTAAGGGGCCTGCAGAGAGCAAAGTATGGCTTCCAGGAGCCATTTCTGGGAAAGGGCAGGGGCATATCTTAGGTATGGCAGGTATGGCACCTGCCCTGGACACCACTTGAAGGGGGCACCATGGAGCAGGTTCTGTTAACCATGCACTTTCAATCACCAGGTGTGAGAGATCATTCAGCAAGTTAAAATGAACACTTTTGTGTGCGAGAGCCTCCATAGGTCAAGGTAGACTGTGTGATCTTGCTCTGCTGAGTGTAGAAAGAGAAACTTGAGGGGGGGGGGTGGAAATGACTTTGAGTACATTATATACCAATTTGCATCAGTGAAAGCAAGGAAGGAGCAGTTGTAATTTTCATGCAGTGCTATAATGTGTTAAGTAAAAGATTAACAAGCTTGACTTGCATTTTTGAGCTGGTATTACTGTAAAGTTATCTAAAAGATGGGTGTCAGATATTTGAACAGGGGCATGATTTCAATTGTAGATACACCTCTGCCTATGCCCAGGGAGAACCATAATGGGTGAGCATGTGACCCAGGTGGCTTGGGCTGCTGTCCTCCTGTAGTCTGTAGTGTTAGGCTCAGGTCCAAGGCAGGAGGATCTGTGGGCATCTGGGGGGGGCGGGCCCCCAGTCACATCTTGGTGGATTCCATGCAATCACTGTCGCTATGGCCTTCGCGGCCCGGCAGGGGGCGTCTTGGGGCAGAGGGTAGGCCCCGGCGGAAGCTGTGCAGGGAAGGGCGCAGCGAGCCAAGGCGCTTCCAGAGGCGGAGCTGGGGCTCGCTGGAGTTCCCTGGGTGGTGGGGCATGCACTCGCGCGACCCGCGGCGGCTCGGGTCCAGCAAGGCCGACTTGCAGAGGGTCATGAACAGCAGACAGGTGGCCAGCAGGAGGAAAATGCAGGCCAGGGCAATGAGCACAGGGAGGAGATGGGCTGCCTCCGCGGAGGTCTCTGGAGTGGCTGGAGCTGTGAAGAAGGCAAAGGGGCTGGGGGCCAAGGAGCTGGTGAGGCTGGGGCCCTCGGTACTCATGGCTCCTGCAACAGGAATAGGACAGAAGCTCAGAGGCAGATCACCTGGACCCGAAAGAGGGGATGGAGGGGAACATTGACGGGGGCTGGCACTGTTTAACCACCTGCAGGTAGCACTGTAGCTATTTTACAGGTTAGGGCAATGGGGCCCAGAGAGGTGACAAATCTAAGGTCTCACAGCTGGTAAGTGATGACAGTGAGTCTGAACTCAGGTCCTCTCTGCTACATTCCATTGCCCATCCCTCTCAAAGGAGACAAGAGAGTAATCAGTCCTCATGAATTGCAATAGGTAGTCCCCAACTTAGAGTGCATTGAAGTCACAATGAGCCTCACCACCATCCCCCAGCTTTTTTTTTTTTTTTAAAAAAACCACATCTTATCGTTAGTAATATGTACCACATACAGTGTTGCAGCATATAATTTGTTATCATTCTCATATCACCCTCTAAAGACAAAGCGGATTTATAAAGACACTGATTCTAACAGGCCCTAATAATGAGGGGTAGAGAGAAATGAGGTATTTGACTTATGTCAAAACCTACTTATGCTGGAGTTGCTGGAAAGGAACTCTGTAGAATCCTAGGCCTGAAAACTTGGGATCTAGGACAAACTCCATCAACAACTTATGGCCAGGAGCAACTCTTCCTATAGGATGTTGCAGCTGGCAGGGACTCTGGCAGTTACCTACAGCCAAGACTGCAAATTGGGGGCCAGAAGGTGTCTTTTGTTGGGTCTTTGCAGTGTTTCTATCTATTTAAATTAATTGTATTAAAAAGAAAAAGAAACGAGATTTCCCATAAATATCTAGATGCCTGGTTTCTCTTGAAATTTCAGGATTTCAATACTGGCAACACGGGGCCTATATTTCTGCTGGGCACCCAGTGGCTAGAGCTAAGCGGCAGCTGTTCCTTTAAATAGGGCACTTCATACCTTATGGCACCACCCTGGCCCCACGGGTATTTGTGATGGTGCTGCTTGACACAGTCCATCCTCAACTATGACAAATGAGGAAACTGAGGCCCAAACAGGAAGAACAAGCCCAAAGCCACACTATGAGTCAATGGCCAAGCAAAGGCCAGGTTTCCTATCTCCTGGCCCATGGTCTTTGCACCTTTCTGGTCCCCTACTCTCTCTCTGAACTCCCTTAGCTACACTGGGAAACATGTGAGAAATAACCCCCAACAAGCAACTGAGTTGACAAGTCCTCCCCAGAGACACCAATCACTTGACCTGAGGCATTTCTGTTATCATTTAAGATCATCCCACTGGTGGGGACATAGCAGAGGGTCCTTGTAGATGCAAAGTCAGGCTGAGTTTTGATTGAATGTGGGGTTGCCAGTAAAAACGCTTATAGAGGCTGACCAATAGATAACACATGATTGAAGAGGACAGGTGGGCAGGGGCCACCTGGAAAGTGCTGGCCACCTGGAGAGCAGCACCTCTAGAGACAGTGACAAGCCTGGTTAGGGCTCTGCCACAATACCGGTCCAGGCTAGTCAGCTCTTCCAGTTTCTCAAGAGAAGCCAGAAATCTGGACTTTTAGGCGAAAGTTCCTAACATTTAAATGTTGGCAAATAATTCAGATTAAAAGAAGAGTGAGAAAAAGAAGAAAGAAGATGAAAACTTTGCAAAGTCTAAACAAACTTGATCCTTAAAAATGTGAAACAAATTTAAAAATATTTCAAATGAACCCAGGCCAAACAAAACACATCAGCAGGCTAAATCCAGCTTGTGAACCAACATTTGTGATCTTTGATTTCTATAAACAGAGGACAGGAAATCAAAAAAGGATCTAATAAAAAATAACTATTTCTCTTTGACACCAGATGTTTCATGGCATTGGGGGAGAGCAGATCTCCCTCCTTTGCAGCTTGCAGCTTAGTCTAACTCACAGTTGAGTTTCCACCACCCATTCTTGGCAGGAGGGGGGATTCCAAGTCATGCCAAGGCTCTATATATAAGATTGTAGAGAACCAAGGATCAGCAGGTGGTGGGGAGGGGCCACCCAGCCCCGCATCCTCCCCAATCCCCTGTCCCCACCCCAGGCACTCACCAGCAGCCATAGGACCTAGCTTTGGGCTCCCTGCGCCTAACCTCCGTCTGCCTGCAGCCTCACCTTATGCCTGGCAGACTGAGTACATCCAGAGTACCCACTCCACCTCCCACCCACTCCCAGCTGCCACCCTTCCAGCATTTTTAAACAGAAGACTATCCCTCCCAGTTCCCAGCTGGAAACTTTGATACCCGTCTTGCTACCCAGGCCTCCGCCTTTCGGGCATCAGGCCTAGAGAGCACTCTGGTCAGGCAGCTGAACGTGGGCTGGCTCTTCCTTGGGTCTGAACAGGGCGGAGAGCTGAGTTGTGCCCATGACCATCTCCCACAGGGAGAAAACTGGTCATCCCTCTATCCTATCCTTGGCAGTGCTTAGCTGGGAGCAAGAAAAAAAAAAAACAAACTAAACCAAACTCACTGCCATCAAGTTAATTCTGACTCATAGCGATCCCATTGGGTTTCTGAGTCTATAAATCTTTACAGAAGTAGATTGTCCCATCTTCCTTCCACAAAGCGGCTGGTGGGTTTGAACTACTGACCTTCTAGTTAGCAGCCAAATGCCTTATCCACTAAACCACCAGAACTCCTTGGGAGTAAGAAACCAAACCAAAAACCAAACTCAACTGCCGACGAGTAAGAAAAGTACAGTCTAAAATGGGGAGAGGTCTGAATCCTGCTAAGTTTAATGTTGTTTTAAGACCTTCAGATAGATCTGGAGCTTTAGTCATGGGGACCTGCTTTAATGAAAAGATCATTTTATCTAAGAGCATTGATGGTTCAACGGTAGGATCTTCTCCTTCTATGTGGAACCTGGGTTTGATTCCTGACCAGTGCACCCAGGCACAACCCCATCCGTCTATCAGTGAAGGTTTGCAGACTGCTATGCCACTCCTCGGAAGGAAGGTCGGGCACTCCTACTTCCGTAGTGATACTGCCTCGGAAACCCAAGGAGGGGTCGCTATGAGTCGGGGCCGACTCGACGGCACGTAACAACAACAACAATATGACACTGAACAGTTTGCAGAAGAGCTTCCAGACTATGACAGACCAGAAAGTAAGCCCTGGTGATTGCCTTCTGAAAAATTAGCCAATGAAAACCCTATGGATTAGAACAGGCTGATCCTCAACCAATCACAGGGATGGTACAAGACCTGGTTTCATTCCATTGTGCATGGGGTCACCATGACTCCAAGGCAGCTGACAACATCAATTAGGATCTGAGTAGTTTCTGTGGAGGCAAGAGGTTCTGAAGTGCTTGAGAATATCAAGTAATCCTCCCTGGAGCCTGTGGCAAGGGCAGGTGTCAGTCCCCTCTTGACACCCCTTGCAGACCAGCCAGCAAGTCCAGCAGGTTCTGGGGAAAGGAGACCTCCACCATACCAAGGCTAGGAATTGGCTTGAGAGCATTAAAGCCATTTCCCATCCTGCTGGAGCCCAGAGCATGCTGGCAGACCCTGCTCTGGACACACCTCTGCAAGCTCAGTCTAGACCTTTCTTACTTCCTGGAGCCCTAGAGAGCAGGGCCTGCTGTGTGGCCTCAGGCTAGCCACTGCCCCTGGCTGGGTCTTGTTTCCACCCTCTACACAACTCTAGCCACTCCTCGGAAGGAAGGTTAGGCAATCCTACTTCCGTAGTCGGGGCCGACTCGACGGCACATAACAACAACAACAACAACAACAACACAACTCTAGGGATTCCCGAGGTCTTAGCACACCCTCACATCCTCCCCAGAGTACCCCAGTAATGGTCCAACCCCACCCTCCTCACCAAGTCTTCTCCTGCAGTCCCCCAAGCACTGACCTTGAAGCCAGCTCTCAGCAGTCCCAAGCTCAGTGGTGAGGTCTTCTCAGATGTCCAAAGCTTCTCAGAAAACCACCTTCTCAAGCATCATGCACCACCCATGGCCCCAGCCCTACCTTGGGCCCTGCTGTACCCTGAGCCCCTGTAGCAGGCCCAGCAGAGCAGGCCTTCTCCCTCTCCAGTGGACCTGGCTTTGTCTGGAACAGTTTGGGTTCTGCCTAGGGGAGGGGACAGCCAAGAGGGTAGAGATGGCAACTGGGCTGGGAAGAGGGAGAGGGGAGCTGTCCAGAAGAGATAGGGCACTCCGGAGCCTTCCCACAGCCTCGTTCCAGCTCGTCTCCTTGGAGCCCTCTCGAGGGGCAAGAGACTCTGGGGGGACCCAGGAGGAGGGTTTCCCTGCCTCTCTTGGGCCCCAAGGCTCTCACCTTCCCCCCTGGAAGTTTGAATGGTATGGTCGGTGCGGCCAGCGGGTCACTATTCAACACCTGCCAGCTCCAGGTTACCGGGGAGAGGGGCTACATCTGCGCAGTGGGAGGGGAGCAAGCCCAGAGGCGGCCCCTGAGGCCCCTCCTGCAGTGTCCCTAGGCTCCCCTCCTTCCAGTCTTCTCACTCAGCTTCTCAGAAAACCACCTTCTCTTTGAAGGTGTCTGGCTGCAGAAGTGCGAGCTGGGAGGCATTTTCAAAGGTCAGAGAGATCACAGGAGAGAAAGCACAGGATTGAGGGGCAGCCGAGGCTATGTGCTCCTACAGTCTGAGTGAGCTATCAGAGACCCTCCAGGCAGCAGCTCACACACACACATGCACACACACACACACACACACACAAACTCCCCCAGCCTCCTTCCTGAAAGCCAGAGCTTCCCTGGCAACCAGCTGCCTTCTTAAGAACCAAGTCTCAGACCAGCTTCCCCATCAGGGACTACCCCCAAGCTCCCACAACCCAAGGGAAGTTTTGGTGCCACCCCAGGCCTGAGCTTAGAGCCACCCCATTTTTAGATCCCCAGTTTGGGTATTTAGCTGTTCCCTCCTACCCTCCGCCCTCTACCAAAAAAGCCATACCCTCTGCACAACCCCAAAATGGAAGCGAGCCTTCTAAGGGCTGTCACAGCTAGAGAGACCCTTGCAAAGTAAATAAATAAATAAAAAGTT